TGCCTCATTTTCCTGTTCTGTAACATGCGGATGGTGTTAGAGCCACTGCACATGATAAATAAGTTAGTGAATATGAAAAATTTGGAAGAGTGGTCAGCACATCGTAGAAGTGCTGCTTTTGTGTGAGCTCTCAGTACCCCCCGAGGACCAAGCTTGTATAAGTCAAGGGCCAAAGAAAGGGTAAAGCGCTTCTCTTTTCCACTTGCCTCCTACCTTCCATGAGGCAATGAACAGAGGGCTGACTCTGCGGGACAGGAAAGGGGAGAAAAAAGAGAAACTACAAGGAGATCAATAAAAAATAGTAACATCTCAGAATGATATTTTAGCCACAAAATAATGTGAAAAAATTCCAAGGGAATTTTCATTCTCTCTGCTTACATTACTGTACCTTAAATGAACTTTGATGTGATAAGTTACTCACATGGCTTGTTTTTCCATATATGAAAAGAAGCAAACAAATTTGCCCCTCGACTACCTAGGGTGTCCGGAGGCTATGGGCAACTCCTGCCCTCCTGCTTCCCTCCCTCTGTCCCTCCCTCCTTCCTTCCTTTCTCTTTCTTTCTCTCTTTTTGTCTTCCTCCCCGCCTCCTGCCTTCCTCCTTTCCATCTTTCTACTATTATTATTCGATATTCATCAAGAACCAGCAGTGCTGTTTTGAATGAACAAAAATAGATTCCTCCAAATGGCTTTTCTCCCCTGAGAGATGATGGATTGCTTTTCTCCCCTCAACGCAAACCAGAAATGGAAACAGATGAAGCAAGTCTTCAGCGGTGTCAGGCGAAGGAGCCTGGCTTGTGGGGAGTCTGTGTCTGGTGGTATTTGGAGAACGAGGAGAGGCAGGAGAGGCTGTGGTCCACTTCTGGTCCCCACCTGGACGAGCGGATGGGGGTCTGCTCTCTCCAGGCCTGAGGGAGAAAGGGCTTTCTCCTCTACTAGCATCCTGACTGCCCTATCTGCCTTTTCACTGGTTTTGCACATTCTTCCCAAAATATCCACAGTTTGACTTTCAGGGGCACACCACAAGCCAAGTCAGTGGATGCAGGAAATGTCTTATCAAAAATCGTGGCACTTTCGCAGTCCTTTGTGGATCTGTGCAGAGCAACAATGTGCACGTTCCCAGCTGAGGTCCAACAAGGCGATGCTCCGCCTTCTTGTTTCAGCTCATGCTGTAAACAAATGTCCTTTTAGCAGTCTATTTTGTGCCACATTTTTTGCATTTTTGTGCTTTCTGTTTGTGACTACCCGTTTAAAATGGACTCCAAGCCCAGTGCAGAAGGGCTGCCTAGGGTTCCTGAGCGCAGGAAGGCTGTGATGAGCCTTACCGAGAAATTCGCTGAAGAAGCTTCTTCAAGCGAGACTGCTGGGCCAGTTCTGGTTGTAACGTTGGCTGTGAGATCAACGTTCATGAATTAACAATATGTATGTTAAATAAAGTGTCAAACAAAAATGGTTATGTAGTGATTGGTTGGTGAAAATATGACAAGAGGCTCCCAGGAACCTATATCTATATTTCCTCTATATTGTGAAAGCAATTCAATATTTGCCGTGACTGTATGTTCACAGTGACTACCTCTGATAACGAGTATTGACTTCCGCTTGGGAAATGGTGGGCTAGACTATTCCTCTTTCTCCATCTTTGCTGATTTTTTCATTCAAAGAAATAGAAAGTCGTTTCTGGGTTAACATTTGTCTCCAGCTTCTCTGGTGGATCCGCTCTTTTCAATACGTTGACTTTTATTTCAGAGCTGGCTTAATTAACACCATAACAAGGAAGTTACAGAAGGGAATGGTATTTCCAGGTTTGTGCATATGGTACCCGGCCTTGTTCTTGGCCGCTTGTGATATTTATTGTTCTTGGTCTGTTGGCATTTTTATGATGCTGAGATTCAAATTTTATAGCTGTTTTACCAGGCTAATTTTCCATGCCACATTTTGCCAGCCCATCCTAGACACCCAACAAGTCACCTCTGAGTCACTTGCTGCTGTAAATTGCGTACTCCCATCATCCAGAAAGCCTCTGGCACTCTGTGCTCTCCCTCAGTCTGGAAACAGGTCAGAGAGGAGAAAAGTGCAGCATAAGAAGTCCCCTCAAACTTTTTCTCATATGATTACTAGGAGACGGGGAGATCCTCCTTTCCTTTAATATTTCTGACTATTGCCACAGATGTAAAGAGTACCTAGAAAATGAATAAATGTTGAATTATGAATTATGCACCAGGTCCCCACCGTAATAAGTCACCATGGCCAAATTAATATTCTCTCCTCTCCTGATAAAGATCCTTTGTGAAATCTCATTGCCGTGTGGCTCAGATTGGGTAGGAAATTTTCAGTTACAGAAGCAGCAGACGGACTGTGACATTTAGTTCTAGAATATGTCTCTTGATTTGAAGACTTGGAACCGCGTCTTCTTCCATGACCCCAACCACAGTGAGCTCATATATTTTTAAACCACACTCCAGTTTGAAGCTTGACTGTCACTGTGCAGAAGAAGCGGGTTGGGCTCCTCCCTTTGAACGTCTCTAATTCCATTCTCTTGGTCTGTGAATCCTTAAAGTGGAGAATTGCAAGCAGTGAGCATTCTCTTTCTGTGTCTGGATAGGTGAACGCTGAACCTCAAATATTCTAAAGCTGGGGGACCAAGCATCAGGTGTACTTGAGACTGGGATTTTCCCCAGGACGTGTGGCTTAAAGCTAGGAAAGTCCCAGACAAATTGGCAGGAGTTGAACCCTTAATGCAGTGAGATTATTTGCAGATTGCTTGTGCTCTGCCTTCTTTTGGATGTTTTCCTAATAGAAGCTGTAAAAGAATTCTAGAACATGGAGAGAAGGCCACAGAAGATCACTGAAATATGAGCCCTTTCGTCTTGGAATGCACTCAGGCTGATGCATCAAAGAAGACTTTGGTGTCCCCATTGTCCATCTCTCTCCCTGGACACAGTGGCTGAGGAACACAACACCATCATCCCCTCATCCAACACTAAAGGTCCCTCTACTTCTGAGGCTTCAAATAGACTTAATAAGAAATACAAAAGTGGGGTTAAAATTCTCATCTATGTTCTTTTTTTTTCTTAAGATTGGCACCTAAGCTCACATCTGTTGCCAATATTCTTTTCTTCTTCTTCTTCTTCTCCCCAAAGCCCCCCAGTACATAGTTGTATATTCTAGTTGTAGGTCCTTCTGGTTGTGCTATGTGGGACGCCACCTCAGCATGGCCTGATGAGTGGTGCCATGTCCACACCCAGGATCTGAACTGGCAAAACCCTGGGCCACTGAAGTAGAGTGCACGAACTTGACCACTCGGCCATGGGCCGGCCCCTTATCTATGTTCTAGTTTTTTGTTTGTTTTTGTTTTTTGAATTGTGTTTATTTAGTGTTTGTATACAAAAAAGAAGCCAAGGAGGACATCAGGGCTCACAGCTGGGGCCTGTCCTCACTGGTCTGATGTCCCGTTCAGGCTCCAGCCACGCTCTCCGAGAAGAGAAAGGTCTGGTCAAGAGTTTCTATCTGAGGAGTTATTGCTTCAAGACCCAACACCTTCGAAGCCTGTTCTCTTTAGTGGCCACATTTGAACAGACCCACATTGACACAATCTTATTAATATTCTTTTATATATATATATATATATATTTTTTTTTTTTGAGGAAGATTAGCCCTGAGCTAACTGCTGCCAATCCTCCTCTTTTTGCTAAGGAAGACTGGCCCTGATCTAACATCCATGCCCATCTTCCTCTACTTTATGTGTGGGATGCCTACCCCAGCATGGCATGCCAAGCGGTGCCATGTCCGCACCCGGGATCCGAACTGGTGAACCCCGGGCCACCGAAGTGGAACGTGTGCACTTAACTGCTGGGCCACCGGGCTGGCCTCTAATATTCTTATTCACATACATTGTTTTTATGTAGTAGATGGTCTTGAACGTATTCCAGGTAGTTTTGTTATGTATCATATATTTTATCCAAACTTCTTTGAATTATTTAGTTAGAATAAAAAAGGCAGTAATCATGCCATTTACCTCTCCTCATTCTCCCATGCAGTAGGATCTTAAATTATTCCAATATTTTGCATCAACAACAGAAATAAATAGTTGTATGTGAAATTTAGGTCATGTTGAGATTTTCTGACCCAATAAAAAAGTGTTGGTTGTCTAAGGAAATCTTCTAGAGAATTATAATATGTCAAAATACAGTAAAAGCATGGCATTTGAGATTGAATCCAGAGCAAGCATCTGAAAGCGGTTGTAAATTATTATATTTATGACTAAATATATGCTTAAATATACACACTCCTATGTGCTCTTAAGAGCTGACATACTCCAAATCCAATTTTGAGAAACTCTTTAGAGAACAAAGTCATAGTTTAGCAAGGAAGGTTTGGAAGGAGATCAAGAAATTAAAAACAATAATAATAATGTTAATAATATGAGTTCAATTGGGTCACAGGAGAAGATGGGGGAGGGGGAACTTCCTCCTGCGCCCCAATCTTGACATGATAGGATTCATCAGCCCAGTTATGACACACCTGGATTTTATGCTTAGTGTTTATCGAGGTCAGGAGAATTGGAGCATCTAAAGTGAGATGAGTAAAGAAATGTTCACTGTCAGTGAATGTCAGCATGTAGGACGACCTTCCGTTTTCCACGAGTTATATTGCCTTGACCTTCATGGCTCAGGAGTCAAGACCTGAAGGGTCGTAGTTTTCTACTTGTGTCTATTTATTGAACTTCTTACACATGTAGCTGAAATAAAACAAAACCTTCTCTCCACCACCCCCTGACAAATGGAAGCTTTAGGCCTATTTATGCTCAGGTCACATCTCACAAATCCTTCTTGAATTGACTGGGAGTGGGGTCCAGGCATGGGGGAATTTTTCAGCTAGATAAATAACTCTATTCCAGATAATTCTAACATATACCCAGGGCTGAACACCACTTCCAAAGGGAAACCCCTGAGTGTTGACATGACTTGATTGAGAAAATAATAGTGGCTTCTTTTCTTGGCAGAAGGTTGATCCTGCGAGAATGGAAGATGTGTTTTTATTCCCCTCTCAAGGAAAATGCTCACACGGTAGGTCTCTCCTCTAGAAGTCTACACTTTCCTTGCCTCAGAGAATAGATAAGAAGGTTTGGCTTTCAGAAGTCTGAGTTCTTGGTGATGGGTAACCGGATTTTCCCAGAGAGGTTCTTGGTGTGCAATTGAGGGCGGTGGCCCATTTTGAGGGCTTCCAAGGCAAATGACCCAATTTGGAGGAGGATGGAGAAGTTGTGGTTTGGGTGAACAACTGTCCCAGTTTACCCAGAGCTGAGGTGTTCCTGGAAAATGGAACTTTCCAACTTTCTGTGCTAAAAACGAGTCCTGGGCAAACTGGGTGGTCACCCTATCTTGTAACTCAAGGACAGTATCCTGATGGGCTAGAATATCAAGAGGAGGCAGTTTGGAACCTTTCCACGTGGGGTGGGCATCCATCTCCAGCTCTACCTTGGCTCAAAGGGAGGGAGCTCATATCTCTGAGCAGACTCAATGAACCTAAGTCAGGGGCACCCAGGAGTAGCAGTCATGATGGACTGAGGACCAGAGGATTTCCTCAATTCTAGATTGAGAAAGCTCCAGGAATCTAGAAAGCTCCATAACAGATAGAGGAAAAGTCCTAAAAATGACCAAGATTGACTTACTACTAAACCAGATGGATGGAGCAGAGCCAGACTAGATAGCACTAAGAAAAACAATGTGATAGGTGTTGCGCTTTACTACATGATATGCTCATTTTCTTAAACTCCTGCCTAGGTTGAAATGGGGAAAGGAGAAATACAAAGCTCTACAAAGACTACTTAGAGAAAGAAATAGGGGGGACAGGGGAAAGCCTCAACCAGCCTAATTCCTTCTGCCTCTGTTAAACAGTCCTGGGAACAAGCACAAAAGGCTTAGATGCTTGTTTCAGAAAATGCCTGCTCCTGAAGTATGAGACTGTGAACCAGCTAGACAGCTTGCTTGTCCAGACTGCTTCAAGACCTCCCGCTGCTGTGTCCGCCAGGCCAACACTGTTACGGCACAGGATCAGAGGGCTCTCTCCGGGAGCCATGATCAGCTTCAGCTTGGTTCTTAGTGGGGCCCAAGTTGGAGTTAGCAATGAGCTTACTTTCCTCTGAAAAGCTTCCAAATGCCTCAACATAACAAGGCCCAGAACAGAGGGGTTCCCCCCTCTGGATTAAGCAACACTAGGGTTCTGGAGAGTTCCACAACAAACTTGAATTCCCGTCAAACCAAGAATTCAAATCTAACACTTATGCTCCTGGCTGAAGAGGGAAATTTTTCTATCTAGAAAATATAAGGACTAAGCCATTTTTGCCCACACCCTGTTTTTAATAACTAAATCTCTGGTACCATGATAAGTCCAAGAGTCAGGCATGTGCTCGGAAACCCAGCATCACAATGACAGGAGCCTTGAGCTGGGAGCAGAGGTAGGCTTGGGGTACCCTCCGAAGGGCCCCAGAGAAGTTTCAGGGACCCCTGGTCTCCAGGTAACCCCATGCTCTGTGACAAGAGAAGTGTTACAAGCAGGCAAAGGAATTCTGCTGAGATGAGACAACTCTCAGCACAATCGAAGCTGGAGTATGAATGCAAAAGGTCAGAATGTCGGATCCGGAGGGACAAGTGTGTTTGATGACGCAACAGCCTTCTATCAGGGACTTTGCTCCAATGTGCCATCTGCTAAGCTGAGAGACAGCACTGCTGGACTAGAGGGCAAAGAGCTGGATGTGGAGAGTGGACAAATAGTGCAGGGTGATGCTGGGCAGGAACGCACGTGGGAGGGGAGAGACAGAATCAGTGGTCAGTGGTGCTGGAAAGGAGGAAGGATGTAAGACGCAGACCTGTTTAGCTCCAGAAGCAATCTTGAGTATCTGATCTATGTTCAACGTTCCATGATGTGTCCAGCTCACTGAAACATACAGAGGTTTGCACTCCCCAGGGAAGATACCCAAGCATGTCCCCGGATAGCCCCATGTCCCTGTCAGATAGGACTGCAGAAAGGACCCATGATGGACAGATTGTGGGACTCAGGCAAAGAGTGGGGAATGATGGCTTTATAATCATAGGCTGATGCTGGGGCTGTGACATGGACATCCACGTCCAGTCTAAACTGACCTTTCCCCTCGGCAGCCCCAGAAAAGACCAGAGGCTCTGAGATTGCTATGTGTGAGGTGAGGAGGGAAACTTTCCTCAAAAGGCACAGCCGGGGACAGTGAAACCTGGCGGCAAGGCCGCGCAATGGTCCGGCCCTTGTGTCTATGGCCCAGCATCACGGCGGGCTGATGTTGTCTAAGCTGCCAGCCAAACGGCAGCAGGTGGGCCGAGAGCCCTGTGTGTGCCCTGGGCCATTCCCCACCAGCTCCCTGCCTCGCAAGACCTTCCTCAGCATCTCCCAACCTGGTGTCAAACTCTGAAGACTCTGCCCTAACTTCCCCACCAGGACCATCTAGACAAGGTCCCCCTGACTGCAGCAAGTCCAGCCTCCTAACTGTGCTTGATCAACACATTTTTATGTCGGCCCTTCTGGTGTGTTGACATCGATAAACAAGGAAAGCTTTCTCTGCTTCAAAGCCTTGAAGATGCTTGAGAGGACGCAGCTGCCAGCCCACAGAGAGATTTTGAAAGAGCACGGATAACAGCTATCCCAAGAGAAGGAGGAGGAGCAGGCGGGCTCCCGGCATTTTTGATATCTGGATCTCAATGGGGATGAGCCTGGAAGTCTATGAATACAGGCGAAATCAGTAAAATCAAGCGATGGGAAATAATCACCGCTGATTTTCCTCTCCATTTGGCTGGAGCTTGGGAAGAAAAAGAACGCCATTGGCTTCAACTGCATCATGCACACACTTCTTGGAATCTCTTGTTTCACTTTTGCTTCAAAAGAAGCTACAAAAATTAACCTCCATTTCTAAATAACATGACAAGGGCATTTGTAAAGACGAATTTACTGGGAATTATATGAGCATGTTGAAATTATTTTTCTTCTTGTAGTCAGGATCTGAGTTATCTTCTATTCGTATGCAAATGTCAGATTCCTGAGCTTACTTTATTTTCTACAAGGCTGAAACAGTATGTATTTCCTAAAGTTTAGAGGAGAGGAGTCCTGATATGTTAGCAAAGCCATTCCGATACCAGGTTTAGCAAACGCATTTCTGACTCCAAATGTGCATAGAGCCAAGATGCTTCATTTTAATATTCAGATATGATAAATTATCCTATTTTTCACAAGAGTATAATGATTCATTGATTTTTAAAATTAGCATTGAATTTTAGAAAGAAGCATTTGCCTCTTGCAAGCAAAGCCGATGGGTAGAAATACCGACTGTCTTTAATTATCTGCAGGCTCCTATCTGGATCATGACTTTTGGGTGTGAGTCCTTTCTGAGTTACTTCGTGTTTCCCCGGCCATCTGTCTCACTGATTTCTTCCATTTTAACTGCATTCTAAGTCCTTTCTGGAGAGCAGCTTATAATTAAAATGATTGCTAATTGTGTGTTTTTAATTAGCTGCTGCCTAATGAGAAATTACATAACAATTTGGTCCCTGCAGGGAGATGAGTGACCAGAGAATAATTGTTATTTAGGGACAGTGTTCTTATGTTTAACTTTCGCCCTGCAGACAAGGGCTCAAACAATTACAGCTTATTTAGAACACGGCAGAGTATAAACAGGAGAAAAAAATAGGGGCGTAAGGTTTTCCTGCTGCATAGTCTTTCACATTCAGAAATGGCCAGAAAAATCAAAGAGGAGTCTGATATTTCTACTTAGGAACAACCCAAACTCAGCCTGGCCAGTCGACAGCATCTAGTAATCCTTCAGAACGAGATCCCCCATGGACGCCCAGCGACGGTGTCAGCAAACCAAGCCTCAAAGCAATGATCACATTGGTAGGCAATGGTTTGACCCTGTTGGTTTTCAGGACAGTTATTAACACAGCAAAAAATGTGCTTTGTTCCGCTTCATCTTTTCTTTCCCAGCCAGCCCCCATTCTCATTAGCTGGGGTCCTTCCTACAAGATGATAAATGAGAAGAGAATCCATTTGAAATGAACATTATCAAGACATGTGTGCTTAGTGACTTGCCTACAAATGACATGTCTGTGTGTGCAAGGAATGCATTATAGCAGTCATTTTAATTTAGTCTGATCAGTGCAAGGATTCATCCCTTACATACCAAAGCAGAAGGCGACCCCAGCTGGAAATGACAATGCTCCTGAGATCATCATCGTGTGCCCAGCCCCCAGAGGCCACTATCTTCTTAGCTTGCCTACAGATGCTTTTGTTAAGAAACAACACAAAACTTCTTTCAGTTATGCTGTTATTTTAATTACTTGCTTGTGAAGATACTACAGGCCAGGGTTTATCAACATCAGAATCACCTGGAAGCCTTTTGAAACCAGGAACTGCTGGGCTCCACCCCCAGTGTTTCTGATTTGGTGGGTCTGGGACCTGAGAATCTGTCCTTCAAACAAGATGCCCTTGGTCCAAGGACCCCTCTGAAAACCACTGCTACAGTTTATGAAGCATGTTTCTGAAAACTGAATAATTCTTTCTGGAAGATATGGAAAGTGCAAGCCTTGTTTTGTTTTTTCCTGTGGCTAGGCTACCACTTCTGCCCTGATTGCAAAGGCTGTCTGCAGCCCAGTCTGTTTGCATGGGATTTCAACAAGAGGAGAAAAAAGCCTGGAAGCCTGGGCTTTTTCTCAAAGGACTTGAGACTTAGAAATGGCAGAGGCATTGAGGAGGAGGGGCTGGAGCCAACATAAGAAGGAAAGAGACGAAGGGACATTTAATTATGGAAATCATTCTCACCCCCCTCTTTTTTTTTTGCAGGGGAAGATTCCCCCTAAGCTAACATCTATTGCCAATCTTCCTCCTTTTACTTCTTTAGCACATAGTTGTGTATAGTTGTAAGTTCTGGTTCTTCTACATCAGCTGCCATCACAGCACGGCTACTGACAGACAAGTGGTGTAGTTCCATGCCTGGGAACCAAACCCAGGCCACCGAAATGGAGTGCGTCAAACTTTAAGTGCTAGGCCA